TTCACTTTGAATGGGGTGACGTCACGTTGCCTCGCTTTTCGCCGAACTGAATTGTGGGTAGCAGAGCGGAGCTTTCCTGGCGTTTCAGGCTGCAAAAGTTGAGCAATGTTCAACTTTTGAAGCCGGAGACACCGGAGTAGCCAGCGTCAGCCAATCAAATCCCGTTTATGCAAATCTGACAGTTCAAGCGCTAGCCAATCAAACCGCGTGCAAGCTGGGAGAGCCAGACCGCAGTTCATTTCCTCATATTCCAAACGAGAAATTACGGTAGCAAATCACCCGGTTCTTTACGACCAGAACTATTTACCGGGATACAAACCGGAGGAACCAGGCATGGAGGGAGGTGGCAGAGACAGTGGGTGAAACTGGTAGGTTTTCGCCTGTTTGTGGGAGTTTATATATATTTATATTGCTCGCATAAAATCCCCGGGGTTTTTTGCTTTGTATGCCGGGGGCGGGACATTCATGTGATTGGTTGTTGGTCGCGGTGCTCTAATAAAATCCCCAAGCTTCAGACACGCCCAGCTCCAAGCTTTTTTTGAAGCTATAGTGTGGACGGGCCGTAAGGGGCGGAACATCTGTAAGTGATCGACCAATCACAAAAGCTAACAAATCAGAGCAGACTGGGCTCTGGTTTCAGACAGAGGGTGAAAAGAGGTGCTGCAGCACAGGCAGTATGAGAGAAATAAAGAGCTTTTTGAACATTAAAGCATGGAGACATGTCCTAGTAGAGACACAACTACTAATATGAAACTATAACATTAGCATAATTGGGCCCCTTTCACAAATGTCTTCCTTCCACGTGTATTAACATCATTTTGTCATGCAGTACACCCGAGTCATCACCTCTCCAACCCCGGGGGTTTGGATCCGATTTATAGGCAGGAGAGTTGAAGAACATGGGGTGGCTCGTGCAAAAATTGAAAGCTCAGTATTTTAGAGGCTAATCTCAGCATTACTGTCACATTGATGTTGTCTCTGTTTTGACTAAGAAATAAATATATATATGTTTTCCAAGACCAGTGAGGTGAAATGGTAGGACACACTCTTGTTAAATACGGTTTCCAAACGTGAGATTGTTGTCAACAGAATGGAGAATGGATCACTGCTTTTAACCTTGCATACAAAAAAAGAACATGAGATGGGAGTGCAACCAAACCCCTATGCAATTCACGGCATAAGCAACGTGTAAATGTACAGTTAAATATCTATTCATCCCTTGATGGGGGAGCATAACCTTGTTTTATGGGCTGCGCCACAAAGCAGAAAATTAGTTCCTGAAAAAGTCATTAGCAACTTGCTTGTTTTATAGGGCGACATACCCTCTTGTGACCAATAATTTGCATGTTTCTCTGAAGAAGCTTTCAGATACTTAAACACATGAGAAGTCTATGAGTGTGGAAAATACTTACAGACACTACCAGATGGTAAATTAGTCTGGTACTGGTCTGTGAAAGTGTTCACTGGAAACAACTGGTTTGACACAAAGGTTCTTTAATTTGCATCAGGGGAATACCATTAGTCCGTTAAAATCAAATTGCTGGGAGCAAAAAAGCTGTGAAAACACGTGGTCTAGATATGAATAAAAAAATATATGTATGGAAGCATGTTTTTGTCATTTGGTCAAGCTGAATGTCACTGTGTTGATTGCAAGTTATTCACATCACCTGTTGGCTGCTAATTAAGAATTGAGACCAGCTTTTGTGATTTCCCCCTCTCAGCCAATGAGAGTATGAGTACGCTCTTTCTTAAGGGCTTAATAGACGTACTGAAATACACACAAAGGGCTGTATGCTCCTTCCTCAACTTCATGCAGTCCTCATTTCAGCAGATATTGTCAGTAACTTTGCTATTTAGGCCCTTTAAAGACTTGTTTTCTACTTTAGGTTTGATTGTGGGCATTCTGAAACCTCACCATATTGAATATTAAAGATATCCACTAGTTATTAAACCACATTATTTATCTGTTCTGCTCACAGCTTTACTGTTATGATTCACCTCAAGTGCTCTCATGAAGCATAAAGCCGTTAAACACTTGAGAGTATCCAAACTAGTATTCTGAAATGTAGGTATATTATTCAGAGGACTCAAAATGAATAATGTTGCTCCAAAACTAACCGCTCTTTTTATATAAAAAAGTATTTTATATATAAACTGTATTTTTTAAACTAAGAAATGTGACTTTCAAAACCAAAGTCAGAATACCTCTTTAAGATCCAGAAAGGAAGCTCTTTTTTCAAAAATAGTATGAAGCCAATGAAAACATGACACCTCCAGAAGACTTGAAACCTCTGGGTAAATCGAACGTTACAAAACACTACTCGAAAACAAGGCTAAAAAGATCTTGTAACATGTGTTGTACGCAAGAAAATCAATGCTATAATATTTTCCTCCTCTCAGACTCCGTGCCTTCTGCCCTTATCAACCCACAGAAAGGAAACACTACATCTCATATCAGGAAAACACACAGGTGGAACAAAGTCTGACTGGCCTTGTCGTCACGTATTTATCCAAATGAAAGATAATTGTCTTTAAAAATAAACTTCCCTCTGTTATAAACACATTTGAGTGGATTTGACTACTTGTACAGCTCTCGTGCCCTCGCTGTTCATTAGCTGTTAATGAACAGTGGCGGAGGGATCAGAGATATTACAGACAAACAATTAGACAGGCACTCAAACAGAGGCTGCACAGGTCAAAGTGCGGCACATTAATTACCTCTGTCACATGCAAATGAAAGTGGAAGTTACAAGACGGTACACTGGCGAAGGATGTGCCTTACAACTCTGTGCCAAGATGTTTCCAGGCAAAACGGGAATTTGATCTTAAAGATCTCCTATCATGCTATTTTTAGGCATATATTACGGGTTTTTAGATATATACAAATTTATAAAAAACATGTCTCTGATGTGTTTTGCTCAAAATACCAAACAGATCATGCATTTTAGAAATCCCTCATATCCCTCTGTTTCAGGCCTGTGAGAGAAACACTGATTCTGGGTCCTTAGCTTAAAGAGGAGGGCGAGCTAATGCCTGCTCAGAATTCTACGAGATACTCAGCTAAATGCTGTTGTGATGAAAAATGTTCCAAACCACATCAAGGATTATTTCTGAAACAGTATGGAGCTCAAAGGCTTTCCCTCTCTCAGGGTTACCACAAGGTGAGTTCCTTTTTTGATTTCCTGCTTTTTTACACACACTGGGTGTTTCTCAATCGCGAGTAAAGCTGCTGCTATTTTAATTTTTTTAAATCACTATTTCAAGCATACTTGCGTCCAGCATACTTGGAATTCTACCGAGCCCGGCGTACTTCGTAGCGAGAAATTTCGAGGCTGAACATGTGTAGACTCCGCGGTCTTAAAATCCCCACAATGCTTTGCGCACGGACCAATTCCCCCAAATCTAAAAAAAATGTAAGACGGGGCCTCGCATATGACGCACACCTGCACACTTGCTCGCCTGTTCTACTCTTTGTTTTCCGAATGCCAGGAAGGATTCTTGCCTCGCTTCTGAAGGAAGTGACTCGGAAGACATGTGCTACCAAGCAAGCATCCTCGACATTCAGAAACACCCACTGTCACTGTAGCTCCTCTTTCTCATGGTCCATACTGAAGAGGACATCTGAGAAGTTTCGCTCTCCAAACGTCGGTCATCTTCCTGCCTGCTGGAAAACTGAAGGGCACTTTCCCTCTCATCTTACCCGCTTCCACACTCATCCCCTCCTCTCCCAGAATAACATGATACTTCCTTACTTCCTTAATACTGCATCCTGGTTATGGAGACAGTTGTCATGTCCTCTGCTAAATCAGTCCCAGCGCTGATGACTTGTATATGATTGTCGAGCGTGCTTTCCTACTAATATAAGTATAGTAAATAAAGTGTTATCAGGTTGAAGTACATTCTCCATCTGTTTGATATAGCATTACCTACTGTCGATGGCGGTCAGCAAAGGTGTCATTTACGCTTGAGAAGTCCCCCCACCCTTTTTTGAAGAGAGATTTTGTTGTTTGTATTGAGCTTGCAATAAAAAAGGTGAACTAACAAATGAGAACTTTTGAATAAAAAAAGTCAATTTGCACAACAAGAAAACACACCATGCAATGTATATATATGTATAAAAACATATGTGCATTGTCCAAAAAAAGTAAGCTGAGTAAAACGTGAGCTGAAAAGAAAAATATACACCTCCCCTACTCGTTGTAATTAACCCAAAAAATGTCTTTCATAGTTTTACGTTCTCTCTCTATGGTGTCTAATGTTCTAATTAGGTATTTAGATTTAAGGTTAATCCCATTTTAATGCACCATATTTTCTTTACCAACCTGCCACTCTGATCCCCCTCTCAATTAGCTAAAATCCCATGTTTTATCAATTTAAACATAACACCCCATCATTGTTCTGTCAGTCCATATCAAATGGAGGTTCACAGGGCTTGGCAAACACCTATAAGCCTGTGTGTGTGTGTGTGTGTGTGTGTGTGTGTGTGTGTGTGTGTGTGTGTGTGTGTGTGTGTGTGTGTGTGTGTGTGTGTGTGTGTGTGTGTGTGTGTGTGTGTGTGTGTGTGTGTGTGTGTGTTTCTCCCCAGGCTCAAGCTGTGGCTCTGACGGTAGCTCAGGCCTTCACTATAGCGTTTGAACTCTGGCAGGTGGCCAAAGAAGGTAGGAGCCAAACTCACCACCCATCAAGTTCTGGAAAACACACACACACACACACAGCCGCACTGTGTGTGTGTAGGAGTTATCTTATCAGCATTTGACACTGTTTATGTTTGTTCCGAGTCGGCCTTGATGATTCGAGGGCGCGGATATCTGCTTCTAGGCTGCAATCAGCACGTTTGTGTCATTTCTGTGCATCTGTTTTCTGATCTAGAGAAAGGGAAACGGGCGAAGTCTGGTTCAGCCGGAGAGGCCAGCAGCAGCTCCCACTCAGAAAGATCCAACAGCCTGGGGAGCCTGAAGGGGACAGGTACAACAACAAAGTGTTTGAGCTGTTTAGCCCCTTCCCCACTGGACAAAAAACCCACCAACATCTGGCGTATGTGCATTAATGGAGAGGTTATAATGGACATTAGTTCCTGGGATCAGTGTCTTGGTTGTAGTCACGGGTGTTTATCAGCTCAAGATCCAATCAGCTGTGATTGAAACACAACACCCATCTGCACACACCAATGTTCCCGCTTTATCCGGTGTGATGATATACATACATATTAACATTTAGCAGGGATTTAAACACTTATTGTATCTTATTAAACTCTTCTTGAAGCCACCAGACTCCAGTGACAGAAACACTTTACTCCAACTAATGGGCTGTCCTTCCTTCACCTCTCATGTAGATGTGGCCACAGACAACCTGTTGGACTTTGAGGACAGTGTGCATGTGACGGTGGAGACCAATGGGAATATAGAGGAGGATCAGCTGGATAACCACCGGCCCTCTGAGACCAACAACAACCCCAAGTTGGTAAGACCCTCCGTGTTGCACCTATTGCTGGGGAAATATTGTCCTATAGGCCCATACCTTTGACCCAGTTTATCAGTTTGTACAATGAGCACCTCCGACCTTGGCTCTGTACTCTCAGTGTGTTGTCTCCCTGTTCCTGCCTGTTGGCGTCAGCTGATAGAGGGGTTGTTAGAGCCAGTATTTAGTTTTATAAGAAAGGCTGCCTAATTGTGACGTCTGTAGTCAACACACTATAAAAGACTACAATTCCCACGGCGCCTCCTCTAAAGAGACGGAGATGGGCAGCAACCTGCTAGGAAGACGCCGTCGACAAACAGTTTTTAACCGTCCAATCAACTTTAAGTTATATAAGCATTATCAAGAAGAAATAATACCCAAGTTGTTTGTTATTTTATTTGAGTTTTGCCTATTTGTTGTGACCATTGTAAAGGCCTCTTTTCTTTGTTGCATGTGTAAAAGTTTGTTATTTTATTCGCATAATATCATCCAAACCATCGGAGGCCAAGCAACTCTTAAACAAGTTAAAAATGTCTGTTTTAAGGCATCTAGTGGCTTGATAGAAAAACAAGGAAGGAAACGACGACGGGTGTTATGGTGCTTTGCCTGTTTTATCTTGTTATGCACAATGTTGTTGGTTATTCTCTCAGAACCAGCTGAATACATGGGTCTGGGGTAGAGATCTTCAGAATTGGTTTGGCAACTGCTGTGTCAACTCGTGGCACAGCACATGTTTTGTGAATTCTCCGGCCGAAGCTCCAAATAAACCGTCAGTGTTTGCCATCAAAGTTCCTGCTCTCCTCGTGTCTCTCTGAGTCCTGTCTCCATTGCTTCAGAAGTTTCCATCACACCTATGGAGAACTGAGGCAGGGGG